CAGAGTCTGATGGGAACAAGGTGATGCTGCAGGTAGAACCAGCTGATCTCCCCCATCCATCTCCACATTCAGTCCTGGTTCCTCCAGTTGTGTTTCTCCTCACAGTTCCTCCATCAGAGCAGCTCAGAGAAACTTTTTCTCTTTCAAAGAACTGAGATCTGCTGGGACTCACAGTCAGAGCAGCTGGAGAGACTGAAGAGATTCAATGATCATGATTTCAGTTAATAAAACTAAAAAGCATCATATTCAATAATTACATCATTTTTTAAATTAAATTCTCAGATGTAACATTTAATCCAAAGAACATCTTTGAATATTTAAAATCATTTTAATGTAACAAAGTTCACCAACCTGGATCTGTTGAGCAGCTCAGCAAGAGGATCAGAACTAGAGAATAAATAAATATTTATTCACTATAAACTAAAACTGAACACATTGAACACAATGTGCTGTGAAACTGTAATCCAGACTCCATATTTATTTATTAGCTCTGTTTTTATGCTAACTGGTGGTAAATGACTTGTTTAGCTCCATCAAGTCCAGAGAACCAAAAAGCTTCAACAACATTCAGTCTTTCACCCATTGAGCTACTGAATCGTAGCCTCAGCTGCCCTGGTGACAGAGGTGAGGCTGACTGATGCTACTGGACCCTCTGACCTGAACCAGCAGGCAGAGCAGGTATCGAACCAGCAACCCACTGATTATTGGATGAACCTTCATTACACAATCAGATCTATTTTATAAACAGACTCATCCAGCCCCCCAGTAATTATATCATTAAATCCGTCCAGTAAAATGTCTCCAGTGTCTCTCAGACAGAGAGAAATGCTGATCCAGCAGAAAGAGACTAAAACTTGTCTACTTACAGATCAGACAGTGAGATGTTCCTTCCATTGTTCTTCTCAGTGATCTGACCTGACGATGTTTCACTGAAGCTGAGAACGGCTGGCTGAGCCGCCTACTTCCTGCTGCTGGTCCGTCTGCTGCAGAGAGGGGGCAGAGAGAGGAGGGGCTGCAGGGCAGGAAGGCTGTTAATCAGGGATGTATAACTGAGAAAATAAATTCAAAGAATTCTGTCATGGTGGAGATCTTTACTGTTTTTTTTTCAAAAATAATAATTTTCCCAGCTGAGATAAAGAGGAAGACTATGGAGAGGCTCATGGATGTGATGAAAAAGAATATGAAGAAGGCCTTTGCTATAGAAGAGTTTGAAGATGGCATTAGATGGCCCTCTATTGGTAGCAGCTGGAGGAAGATGACCATTTTTAATAATCATAATCATTATCATCATCATGAGCTTCTCTTCAGTGAGGATCAGGATCTCTGTGGTTCCTCTCAGTTGGGCTTCAGATGCTGAAACTTCTGTCTAGATTTTTGGTGACCAAACCAGATTCATGTCTCTCAGCTCACAGTCCAATCAGCTCCAGCAGCCTAACAAACATCCCTCCTCCATGGTTTCTGGCTGACATCTCTGGTTTGTTTCTGGAGGTCTGGAGAATCCTTCCATAATCGGTTCTGGAGCCCGACTTCCAGACCAGCTGAATAATGAGTTCCTGTGACCTCAAGGCTGAGCAGGAACAGAACCACGAGGTGGAACCTGCTGGACCTGGTTATGCACTGCAAAACCACAAAGTCTTACCAAGTGGTCCAGTTTATGGTAAAAAAAAAATTTGTGCTCTTAAAATAAGCCAAAAATAACCTACAAACAATTTTCAGCAAGATAAAGACAATTTTATTAATATTCAAGAATAATTGACTTAAAGCAAAGCACTGCTTCTACTGACAGGCTTACTCACTTGTAACAACATTTTTCCCATGTTATGTTGAATTTATTTGTGTTGCCAGAGAGGAGCTGAATGTACAGGGAGCATATTGATAAGAAAACATATCACCTATTATAACAATGGAAAAATTCCCTGTATATTCTAAATGCTGGAAAGGTAAACCAACCCCATTATAGATATTGTTCCGATATCTATTAGCTGTAAATCAGAATTAAATGCATTTGGAAGATCAATATTGTTCACTGTGCCTGTCAAAAATAAATAGTTGCAAATAGTTGCTTAGATTTTGAGTCACTGTCCTGTGATGGACGTAACTTAAATTATAATAAAAAAGGATTTTTGACACACCCTCCGTGGGTGTTCTCTCTCTCTCTCTCTCTCTCT